CCGACGGCCGATCCGACCCGACCTTGCTCAATCCCATCACTCGATCCCAGATCCAGCTCCCTCCGGTTTCGACCCTACCGAACTTCTCCCCCGATCGCGATTCTGTAGGTAACATCACCGCGTACGTGGTCAAGTTTGAGGATTCTTCTTCGTTTCGGTGGAATCCTGAAAGAATTCAGGTACTTTTTATATGAAAAGGTGGTTCTTTCTTCGAGCCCCATGGAAAAGGACTGCTTGGCTGTGCTCATACACAACAATCCAGGTTCTAGATTGTTCTTTGCTGGGGTTGGTGATGGATCATGGACAGCGCTGAACAATCTCTCTCTATTAGTGAAAGGAATTGCAACTTATGTAAGAGTTTACAGGTGCAATTGGATTTATGCACGTGAAATTCTAACTTTACCTGAAAACAATAAAATTGCAATTGCAATTTCAATCGCAGATGATCTTCATCTGCCTGTAACAGGTCTCGCTGCTGTTTTACAGCGGTGTTGATTTCTGCATCAAAATAGGACAAAGTTTCAAAACCGACCCATTTCATGATTTAATTGCAAAAAACGACCCGTTTCTATTTTATTTATAAAAACCGACCCAGTTGGTTGAAACTGACCCAGTTGGTTGAAACTGGGTCGGTTTTTGAAAATTTTTTTCCAAACTTCACGGGAGTTCAACTCCCGTGAAGTTTCGTAAAGTTTTTTTAGAAAAACCAACCTGGTTTCAGCGACAGTGCTGAAACCAGGTCGGTTTCTCTAAATAAGTTAGAAACGGGTCGTTTTTTGCGACAGTGCTGAAACCAGGTCGGTTTCTCTAAATAAGTTAGAAACGGGTCGTTTTTTGCAATTAAAACATCAAATGGGTTGGTTTTGAAAATTTCTAAATAAGTTAGAAACGGGTCGTTTTTTGCAATTAAAACATCAAATGGGTTGGTTTTGAAAATTTGTCCGCATCAAAATACTCTTGAGGCGAAGCTACTATATAGCAGTGCTCACATATCTTGGCGTGGTTGTTATGGGTGTAGCTAGGGAAAATTGGGCGTTTCATTTACTCTTCTACTGTTCTCTTCTTCATCAATGAATGCTATTTGTCTTACTTCTATGTATGCGTAATGAATGGCTGTGATCTGTTTTCTTGGAGTCTTAATGTATATAAGCCCAATTCGTGGGTATATCATAAGTGTTATATCAAGAAAGTATCACAGCTATTCAGTGTTCGCAATTGTTAATTAAAATAATTAATTATTGGAATTAAAAGTAGTGGGCTTTCCCTTTTTTTATTTTTATTTCTTTCAGGGGAGAGGATCCAAATCCTTAGAACACCCAACTTATTACAGTTGGTTTTTACATATTTATGCTCAATTTTCAAATACCAAGTTTCTTTACCTTATTTTCTTAATATACAAACTTAAATTTTACTTGAAGTGCAATGTAATTTTAATATTTGTTACTTTATATAGCTGATCCGTGGTCTAAAGAATTACATATCAAGCATTAACTAAATGACGGAAATATTGCAGACTAGGTAGATTATAGGCAGTCAAGGGAAAACTTTGCAACAAAGTTGGATTTGAGGATTAAATCCACTGTCTATTGACAGGTACATTCAAGCGACATTATTAGAACCTCACAGAAGTGTCTGTGGTGGTGACAAGCTGGCTGCTTTCAAATTACAAAGACCTCTAATGCTTTAAATGCAAGGCAAGTTTGAAAATTTTAATGAACCACCACTAATCTATGTCCACATAAGAATCTTCTTCAAATTAAAATTATCTATAATTAGAAAATTTTTAAGATCAAGTTTCAAATAATAACCATCCACAGTTAGAAATTTCAGCTTCCTTTCTTTCTTTCTTTTCTCATCTTAGGATCAGATGGTTCCTTGTGTTGATAGTAGAGATTATGATATTGATTTTTATAAAATTTAATACTCAACTTTTGTCGAGTGAAAAAGTCTCAACCAAAATTTTAATCAAGTAAGAGAATTAATATAATAGAAACAAGATAAATAATAAAATAGGAAACAACGAAAGAAAAAAAAGGAAATAATAGAAGACAAAACGATATAAGATTGTGGGAAACAGTAAAATCATACTCCCTTTAAATGTGGGAGTTTGAGAAAACTTTTTCTTGGACAAAAATACTATTGATCCTTTTGATTATTACATTGTTATCTTATCATAATTAATATTTTTAATAAGAATATTGGTATGAAATATGTGCTATTTACAAGTGATCAAATTATAAAATGAAAAAAAATCCTAAAGTAATTTTGTCCATGGCCGACCTATGTATTACTTTATGTGAAACTAAAGTCCTTAGTTAAAAATCCAATAAAAAGATCCTATTATCAAACACGTTTCTACCCTATAGTATGGACTTACCTTAAGCATTGTGGTTTATGTACGCAAACTTTACTCGTACACCCCACCGATAATAGGAATTCTATTCGATAAATAGTTATCCATAAAAATATTCATCTAAGCGCTCAAAACTTTTTATGTATAAATTAAAAGTTAATTAATCCGCTTTGCTGTAATATCATCTTCGCCCATGTTAGTTCGCAATCATGAATAAAACGATCCAAAAATTTCTATTTATAAATTAGAAAGATATAAATTTAATTAGATAACCCAAATACAATTTTTCGGGAGATTTATTTATACTACAATGGGTATTTAGATCATTTTATATTTTAAAGTAACAATATCGATGAAATTTGCCGAGAAAAGTTAAAATGGGGTGGGGGGAGGGGTTATGAGAAATCCTATATTTGAGCAGATTAAATAAAAGGAAGTTGAGAGGGGTTATCACAGCACCTCCAAAACAATATAAATTTTAGTTAACATATGTATATTTGATAGGTTAGATATATTATCTTATAGTGCTAGAATGTTAGAGTTAATGCATTGCACACTTTGTCCTAATAAAGGGAAGAATTCAATGCACATAAATGCGCGGTTGAAATGGTGAGGTTTTCAATGACCAAAAAAAAAAGAAAAAGAAAAAAGAAAAAAGAAAAAAAAGGTAAGGTTTCAATTTTTGCTAAACCCTTAATTTAGTACCATTCGAAGAAAGCCTTAGGTACTTAAGAAATGGGAGGACGTTTACCATAGATCTATAAATAGGTTCTGGCTTCGTACATATTATTTGTAACAATGGGTTCTTACAGTTTCTATGACTTTGTCAGCGTATGGATTTTCTCTGTTTTGCTCAACAAAATTGTTAGTTTTCTATCGCATAATTGTTTTTACATTGCACATAATATGTCATATTTTATCTCTATACATTTCCCCCTTGCTCTCTCTCTCTCTCTCTCTCTCTCTCTCTCTCTCTCTATATATATATATATCTCCATTTCCCCATGCAACTCTCTCTCTCTCCAAAATCACAGCAGCTCTTTCCTCTCACGTTCTCCTCTCTCTCTCTCTCCTCCATTTCCCAAAAACTTGAACCAACCCCCTCTCTCTTCCTCTCTCTCACCACCACAAACACCACTAACTCCTCATCGAGCTCCTCCAACTCCACTGCCCCTGAGCTCCCTCCGACGAACCGAAGCCGCTCTGACGAACCGAAGACGCGAGTGAATCCAGATTCACTAAATTGAATCCAGATTCAGTGAACTGAAACTCGTTATCAAACAATAGCAAATCTGCAAAAATAAAAGCTCGATTCATTGGAGTGAATCCAGATTCACTGAATTGAATCCAGATTTAGTGAACTGAAACTCGTTATCAAACAATAGCAAATCTGCAAAAATAAAAAACAAAAAGGAATAAGAAACTTATGGTAAAAAACAAGCTATAAAATTTTAAACCATGAAAAGATTTCACCTTTTACAGCAAAAAATTACGCTTTTTATGGTAAAAAACAAACAACTCACATACTGAATCTGGATTCACTGCTGTGAATCGAGATTCACTGCAGTGAATCTAGATTCACTTATGCAAAAAATTACGATTTTTATGGTAAAAAACAAAAACATTTTCAGACTAAAAGGGAACTATTTTTCACTTTTACAAGATGTGAAGACAGAGAGAGAGTTGAGCGAACCTTGGAGGGTTGAACGGAGGCAGATCTACGGGTTCGGCGTTGGCGTCGTCGGAGGTTGGATGATGGCGAGGTGGCAGGGGTGGAGGAAATCGGATCTGGGTTGTTGATGGGAGAGAGAGAAGAAAGAGAGAGGGCTGGGTTCAAGCTTTTGGGAAATGGAGGAAGAGAGAGAGAGGAAACGTGAGAGGATTGTTTTTTAGTGGTTCAAGCTTTTTGGAAATGGAGTAAGGCATTAATTACTCGTCCTCTTTAGTGGGCTGTTTATTTTACCTTATTACCCTTAATGGCAGCTTTAATCTCAGACATTGGATGAATTCTAGATCCAATGAGATGAGAGGTTTAGTTTTTAGATAGTGAGGTTTGTATTTGAACGCTCTCGCCTAATATATATATATATATAATATTATATAATATATTATATATATATATATATATATATATATATATTATTATATTATATATATATATATAATATATATATATATATAATGGGTATCCCAATTGTCAAGGATGAGATTTTCAAATCCAATGACACTTATGTGACAACAAATCCCCACTATGTGAAATCTCTCCTAACCTAACTTATACATTATACATGGTGGGGATTGTGCCACAATCATATCTAATGAGGGAAATCCCTTCATTGAGCAAGGATCCCTTTTAATCTTATATAATATATATATATATATATATAATATATATATATATAATATATATATATATATATATATATATATATATATAACATATTATATATATAACCAAGAAAAATGAGTATGTTTGGTACCAAACACAAATTTGTATAATTTGTTAGTGAGGTGTCTCATTCTCATCACTCATGTCAAATGATGACATATCTACGTGCACTCGCGCAACCCAATTTGAATGTGGCCCAAACCATTTGAATGAGTGATGATACATATGGGCACCTCAAGCTCGCAAAAGCATAAAATTTGTACTGGTATCAAACATACGTCGCATTTCTCTCTCTCATATATAGTAAGAACTTATGTTAACTAAGTGGACAAGAGATCATTATCTAGCCAAAGTTTCTAATCCACATCATATATATATATAATATAATATATATATATATATATATTATATATATATGTATATATATATATATATATGATCTATTTATATATATATATATATATAGGAAAAAGTGAATCTGCGGTGACTCCGTAGGCCTGGCTCTGAGGATGCGGGATCTGGGCGGTTTATTATAAACCCAATAAAGAGATCTGAGCCCTTCGCTGAAAATCCCTTCCCCCCAAAATCCCTACCCTTCTCTCTTATTTCCCGCTCAGATCGCGCCATCACCTCCCACCTCCTCCTCTCCAGCGACCGAAATCGCCGCCGCCGCCATCACCGACCCCCTCCTCCTCACCACCGCCCGAAAGCGCCGCCGCCCAAGCTCGGCCAAGCCCTCGACGTCCCCGTTCAGCGTCGCCGCAGATTCCCTTGCCCTAGCCATCACCTCCCCTCCTCCTCTCCAGCTCCCGAGATCGCCGCCGCTGAGCGTCGCCGCCGGGTCATCGCCGTCTACTCCTCCTCGCCATCGAGCTCAGCCCTCGTCATCAGCCACGCCTCCGACGGCATTCGAGCTCAGCCCTCAGGTTCATCGACGCCTCCGGAGCTCGACCAAGCCCTCGACGTCAGCCCTCATGGCTTCGAACAAACTGAAAGCGTCGACGTCTTCGAATTCTTCAAAATCAAAGCCTACCTCTTCTAAATGCAATAATCCTCCAACTTCGTAAGTAATTTGCCATGATATATTTAATTTTTAACTCTTTCTGAATTATAATTTTTGTTGTAAGCCATGATGTATAATGTTTGTGTTAATAAACTTGTTAATATGCGTCTTAATTTGCCCAAATATATTTAATTTTTAACTCTTTCTGAATTATAATTTTCTTGTAGGGCTAAGATAACACACTTGAGAATTCCGGCCAATTTGTGTTATTTTCAAGATTTAATTGATAAGCGAATAATATTAGATGAAAGACACATAAAAGCCCTACAGACGACACATTTTCACAACTTTCTCAATATACCCACATCCTTGAGCAATGAGCAAATAGCAATTGATTGCTTGATTCAAAATTTTAATCCCGATAAATGCTCATTCATGATTGGGAATAAAAATTGTGTGTTCGGTATAGATGATATTCACCGAATTACCGGATTGCCAAAGGAGGGAATTCCGATAAAAATGAGTGGGGCAGTGGCTAATACAATCTACACATATTTTGTAAAGAATTATAAGAAAGCCGATGAGGAAAAGAAGGCGGTGATTTCGGGGAAGCGCGATAGAATGGCCGAGATGATTGTAGATATGATTAATGAAGACCCTATAATATGTGTGAAACTTATTGTGGCTTTCATTATCGGCTTCATATTATGCCCGCGGACATGTAAGACATGTCCCTTGTGGGCGTTTAGATATGCGGAGCAGTTATCAACTTTGCATAAATATAATTGGTGCCATGCGGTGTTCACTCTTCTTTGCAAAGAGATGAGTAAATCAAAGAAGTCTCTTAGTATGCGGGAATTAGGTCAGCGCTCAAATGCCGGGTACATGGGTGGTTTTTCCTCCGTTTTACTGGTGAGTTACATGAACATTATTTTGTATATCTTTTCATTTTGATAATGATTATTGTTTATGCACATGCTAATGTGTAGTTTCTTTTTTGTAGGTTTGGTTTTATGAAAAAGTAGGGGAATTAGAGTACACTTCAGATATTGAAAGGTTACCGCCGCTCTTTTGTGTGAAGAGTACTGGAAAGTGGAGGAGGACTACTATGAACAAATTATATAGAGTCCCGAAGTTGGTTACGGATAATGGCCAAGAGAATACTCCTCTTATTCATACGGCATCGCCAATAGTATTTGTACATATCGTTGCTCTAATAGTTCATTATTTTATGTCCCTTTTGTTAGTATCTATGTTTGCAACTATAGTATACGTACTAATACTAGCTTTTTTTGGTCAAATAGGAATCAAGGAAAGCTGAATTAATTTTCTTAATTGCGGAGAAGACGTACGAGTTGAATGAGCTCACTACAGAATTACGAGAATTAGAAGAGCGTAGTGCTAGATGCCAAAAAAAACCAAGGAGAAAGAGGATGACGGAAATGTAACTGAAGAAAAAAAATCAAAGAGGATATGGAAGCTAAGGAATATGAGAATTTGGAAGGAACTGGGGAAGCCGATTTATGTGATGACTTTGTGATGAGCGCAAGAGACATGAGAATTTTAGAAGATGCTCGGTGAGTTTAGTTTTTTAAATTTTCTTGCAATTTTAATTTTTATATTTTCCATATAATTCTTGTGTAACTCTTTGTTAATTATATGCCTTCTCGACTCTATAGAGATGTTTCTCAAAAAGATGAAGGTGGTAATGAGAATAACAGAGAAACGCCATCTATCAAACGGGCTGTCGGAAAGAGGGAGAGGAAGGATGGACCCTCTGTTACTTCACCTTATATGCCTCTAGATCAACCAAAGGAAGGCACAAAGAAGAGACGTGTCATCCAGATATTGGATAGTCCTGATGGGAAAAAAAAGTACAAAAATGAAGAAGGCTTCATACCTACATCTAGAGACTATCCAGGTAAGGCACTGGCGTTTGATTATGAGAACAAATTAATTGAAGACTTTCTACAATCGAGAATGAACAGGTAACTGTTACTGACTTATTCTAATAATAATCTTTGAATTTACTTAATTCTAGTAGCAATTTTCTCACAATGTACTTGCATATAGTGATACATACATTTGGAAGTGTGCCGAAGCAAGCGTATATCGCTTAGATGCTTATATACTATTAACGGGAGGTGAACTCAGTGACGATGTAGGTTCTGAACAATTGTGTTATTATTTGTTTGATGTTGTAGGTTCTAAACAATTGTGTTATTGATTGTTTGATGTTGTATATAAAATAATTTATATTAACTATTTTATTCATTCATGGTAATTTTTGTAGGTGATCGATGCATTTGTTATTCGGCTTTGTAACAAGATTGAAACAACTAATAGTTATGATCGAAAGATACATGTCACAAGACCTTGGCTTGCAGTAAGTATATCCTTGTTTTTTTCACTAATTGGTGGATATTATTATTATGTTATCCCACAATGTTGACATTATTGCATCTTTTAGCAAGCATTTCTAGAAGGAAATCTTGAAATGGTGGCAAAACGAATGAAGGAAAATGTTTCTCAGCAGAAGTTCTTGGAGTGTGAAAGAATTCTGATCCCGATTGTCAGCTCCGGACATTGGCACCTGGTAGAGTTAGTGAGAGAGGAGAAAAAATTCTATCACTACTCCTCAATCAACTCCCCCATTTATACCGCTGATGCTGTGAAATTTAGAAATAAGTTTATGAGTTTCATTGAGAGTAATTGGGGATTGGGGAAATCAGAACATCATGGTCTTGTGTCAGTTGCCGTGCCACAACAAGGACCGTAAGTGTTACATGCATTTCTAATTTAATTGTTCATTTTTTTGTTCATAGTCATTTTTAATATTGTAATATTTTTTCCCCTAAATGCAGAACGTTAGATTGCGGGATCTTTATGATTGAATTCATTAACAGCATTGTCGAAAAATGGTCGATAACAATTTCAAAAGGAGATTGTGCAAAATATAGAGCAAAGTTTTGTGCTGCTCTTTTGTATGCACGCGATTCACCTTTTTTGTAAATATTATTTTAATTTTCTCCAAGGTTTTTGTTGTGTATTCAATGTTGTAAGTATGTTCATGTTGTTAATATGTTGTTAATTGTTTTGCGTGTACATTTACAGACAACTACGTTGTTGTTGTGTGTTGTAAGTATTTTCATGTTAAATGAGAAGTGAACTAGGGCTAACATAGCCACCAGAGCAAACACTTATGCTAGAAATAACATCAGCCCGCAGTAGAATAACTCGAGAAGGGATAGAACTAACAGGAGGGCAGCTAGGACTAACAAGCGTGAGGTAGGGCTAACATGGCCACCAGAGCAAACACTTGTGCTAGAAATAACGCTAGCCCGCAGTAGAACTAACTCGAGAAGGGATAGAACTAATAGGAGGGCAGCTAGAACTAACAAGCGTGAGGTATGGCTAACATGGTCACCAAAACAAACACTTGTGCTAGAAATAATGCCAGCCCGCAGTAGAACTAAGTCGAGAAGGGATAGAACTAACAGGAGGGCAGCTAGAACAAACAAGCAGTGAGGTAGGGCTAACATGGCCACCAAAACAAATACTTGTGCTAGAAATAACGCTAGCCAACACGGAAACGCCTAGAACGAACACGTGAGGGTAGGGCTAACATGGCCACCAGAGCAAACACTTTTGCTAGAAATAACTCCAGCCCGCAGTAGAACTAACTCGAGAAGGGATAGAACTAACAGGAGGGCAGCTAGAACTAACAAGCTGTGGGGTAGGGCTAACATGGCCACTAAAACAAACACTTGTGCTAGAAATAACGCCAGCCCGCAGTAGAACTAACTCGAGAAGGGATATAACTAACAGGAGGGTAGCTAGAACTAACAAGAAGTGAGGTAGGCCTAACATGGCCAACAGAACACACTTGTGCTAGAAATAACGCCAGCACGAAGTAGAACTAACTCGAGAAGGGATAGAACTAACAAGAGGGCAGCTAGAACTAACAAGCGTGAGGTAGGGCTAACATGGCCACCAAAACAAACACTTATGCTAGAAATAACGCCAGCACGTAGTAGAACTAACTCGAGAAGGGGTAGAACTATTCAGGAGGGCAGCTAGAACTTACATATCCAATAGAACCCAAACTAAAAGAACTTAAAGTTTACTGGATGTGGAAATAACACGAGATCAGTAGAAACTATCACATTTATCTAGAACTAACATAGTCATTAAGAAACACAACTAGAACTAACATAGCATATAGAAACACATTTAAACTAGACGCCTTGCGTTATCTAACAGCGAGAAGGCAGAACTAACGACGGAAACAGGCTAGAACGAACATTAACCCTAAGGTAGAACTAACATATTCAATAGATCCACACTTAAACTAACATTATTCACTTGCACTTGCTGTGTAGGTTACGAGATATTATAGCGTTTGACTGGCATTCATTGTTTTTGCATAGTTCCCAAGGTTGAAGAGTTAACTCACCTTAAAAGTGCAGTCGAAGGAGGAGAGTTAAGATAACGTGGTCCGGAACCTATCCCACCATCCCACGAGCGGTAACATCACCATCTCCCAAATCCCCCGCCTGTTCAACCCCAGGATAGGAATTGAGTTACCTTTCGGGCGCAATCTTTTTGGATCTCCCCATCGCCGACTCCTGTAGACTGCTTCCTCATTTATTATAAACCCATACTTTTACCCTCTCCCCAAACGACCTTCAGAGTTCCCCTGTATATACGGCATTGTAAAATCATGGCTAGTTCCTGTATCTCGATGAAGGTCATGCCTGCCTGGGACGCACGGCTGATGTGGATACTTGGATATCGCCCTCATCGCTGATGAAGATCTTATCCCATTGTCCTTGCTCTTAGTTCCATCAGTGGGTGAATATACTGGCTCCCTTCAAAGAGTTTGTACATGTAACGCCCAGTTAAGATTCATAAGCGCATGGAATACATCAATTCAGATGGTCATGCGTGAATCAACATGAGGAGGCATGCAAATGCTGGAAGAATTGTCCTCTGGCATACGTTAACACTCTATAGCTATACAGTGTTAACGTAAGCCAAGAAGGACTATCTTTTGCTAGCATTGTGCATGCCTCCTAGGTGATCACGTCATTGACCCGTCTGAATTTAATCGTATTCCATGCGCTTATGAATGCTTAACTGTTGTTCATTGCACAAGCTCATTGAAGGGAGCCAGGGTATACTCACCGCAAGATACTGGACCTAAGAGCAAACGACAACAGATGTACATGCAAGTTTGACATTACTTTAATAGCACGGTTGTTTTGTTAAGTCATCACGTTTTTATTGTAAAGATTATGACTGGTTGTATTGTTATGTTTTGGCGTTGTGTTGTCCAAGCTAATGGACAGATTGTCAAGGTATGTTTTGGTTTCACCTCTCCCGATTATTGCGAAGTTAGCGACTCTGTTGTCAAGCTTATGGACTGGTTAGCGTAGTTAGCGGCTCAATGTGTCAAATCTAATCGTTTGTTGTTAAGCTTATGCTGCTGTTTGCATTTAATTCCTACTGTTGTTTGTGAAGCTAATCTGTGTTTAGTCTTGTATTGTAGGCTTATGACTTGTTACAAGTTTAGAATCTTGGTTGTATTGGTTAGTTTCCAGCTTAGTCTATATTTTCTATTGCCCAGATCGATGCGGAATCAGATAGGAAAATGACCAGTTTGTGCCATGTTAGTTCTAACCTTATGTCCTTGTTGATTCTAACTTATAACCATGTTAGTGTCTAATCACACCATGTTAGTTCTAATTGTTGTTTTCACTGTAATTTCTCCGCCCGATACTCGAATGAGGTTATTAAAGATTGTTGAAAAGCTGTTGAAGAGTCCTATAACTTTAAGCATTAGAACTAACATGAGATTGCAAACAACTTGGGCACGGTTTTGTACCATCATGCTCATTTATAGATTCGTGTTAGTTATAAAATTGAAGTGTTAGCTGTAGTTTAGCTCGCGTTAGTTTCTACGCTTATTTGATTAGTTTCCAGCTTAGGCTATAATTGGTCTATTGCCCCATGTTAGTTCTAGCTATCCTCATGTCAGTTCTTGGATCCACTTCGTGTTCCTGTTAGAACACAACTATAACAAATAAAGGCATTAGGAACACAGTAGAACTAACATAGGCATTAGAACCCACATTTAAACTAGACTGCCGTTAGCGCAACACGAAATATGCTAGAACTAACACGGAAACGGCTAGAACGAACATTAACCCAGGTAGAACTAACATTTCAAATAGATCCAACACTTAGAACAGACTTAAAGTATATGGAGGTGGAATTAACACGAGAACAACTAAATTAACATATTTTAGCAATAAAATATGTTAGATATTACATTAACATATTTAAATCTAATATTAATTACATTTAATATATTATGTTAGATAATTATATTAACACATTCTCGAAAGCTCAAAACAAAACACCAAATTAAAACTTATTTTAGGTGTTTAGAAAAAGTGTTGGCGTTTTTGGGTTGAAGAGCGATTTAGCTAACAAACACCATGGTATCACATACGGGAGCCTAAGTCATTTGCTTTACTGGTTTGTTAGTTCTAGCTTAGAATGTTGTTAGTTTATCATCTGCCGTTTTAAGTCTAGACTGCATTCATGTTAGTTTCTATCGGCCAGCTAGCGCTAGTTATAGTTTAAAGTGTTGGTTCTAATCGTCTTTGTTAGTTCAAGCTATTTGTTGTAATTCTCGCTTCTCCAGCCAATAGATCTAGCTGTTCTCAGGTTTATTTCCACCTCCAATAACTTTAAGTTCTAGTTTAAGTGTTGGATCTAATTGTACTTAAATGAGTTATAGTTATATTATAATTATACATATATTTTTAAATAATTAAATATTTAAATTTTTGTATATTCAGAATTGTTATGGTTAATATATTATATTATATTTTTAAAATAACCATAACAATTAGATATACCAAAATTATTAAATATATAATTATTTGACAATAAATATGTAATAATTATTATAAATATAATAATAACCATAAGCAATATAATAATTAATTGAATATACCATAACAATAATAACTTAAGTATAATAACCATCAATATAACTTAATATATACAATATAACTTAAATATATAACAATATAACTTAAAATATAATAACCAATAATAAACTTTAAATATATAACAATATAAACTTTAAATATATACCAAATTATTAATATTAATTATTTGAAAATAATATGTAATAATTATAATATAATATAATATATAACCATAACAATAATAATAATTATTTGATATAACCATAATAATATAACTTAAGTATATATACCATAACAATATAACTTTAATATATAACCAATAACAATATAAGCTTTAAGTTCTAGTTTAAGTATTGGATCTATTGTACTATGATTAATATAACCATAACAATATAACTTTAAATATATAACAATATTAAGTTCTAGTTTAGTATGATAACGCATAACAATATAACCTTTAAATATATAACAATATAACTTTAAATATATACCAAAATTATTAAATATATAATTATTTGAAAATAATATGTAATAATTATAATATAAATAAATATAACCATAACAATATAACTTTAAAATATAATAACCATAAATACAATATAACTTAAGTCTAGTTTAAGTGTTGATCTATTGTACTTAATGAGTTTATATAACCATAAACAATATAACTTTAAATATATAACAATATTTAAGTTCTAAGTTAAGTATATAACATAACAATATAACTTGTTAAATATATAACAAATATAACTTAAATATATACCAAAATTATTAAATATTAATATTTGAAATAATATATAAGGAGTTATAATATATAATATAATATATAGACCATAACAATATAATAATTATTGATATACGCATAAAATAATAACTTTAAGTATTAACCGAATAACCATATACTTTAAGTAAATATGAACCAAACAAATATAACTTAAATAATATCACATAACAATATAAACTTTAAGTTCTAGTAGGTTGCATCTATTGTAACTTAATGATTATATAACCATAACAATATAACTTTAAATATATAACAATAGTAAGTTCTAGTTTTAAGTATATAACCATAAAAATA